CAGCCAGGTCTGCAATTAAAGAAAATCCCAGGTCATCCCTACCTACAGCAGCAGGAATGGAGATGGCAATCAGAGAACGTGTGTCTTATCACTAGGTTGAGTGGATTGGATGTTGAGTGGATTTTCCTGGAGAGGAATGGTGCCAAGGTCTCCACTACTGCTGCGTGATTCTGTACAAACTCAAATGTCTCCACTTCCTGCACATAAACGGGAAGTTCAAATAATGTTTTGCCGTACAAATCCACCTACAGTGGTTGTTGTGGCCTTTCCTAGGCAGGAGTAGGAGCAGAGCCTCCGTCAAGTATGCCAGGAACAGGAAGAAAGGTGTCAAATGACTTCGGAAAGGAAACGTCGAATGACTAAGGAAAAAAAAGCACTGATTTATTTTTTTTTTAAATTTTATCTCAACATTGGGGAAAAAAACTGCACAGAAAGGAAAATAAAACACAGCCTGAGAGTATGCCAGAGACCAAATCCTGGTTTTAGCTGAGATCAGTGAAGGAACTTTCAGCTGTAGGCATGGAGTGAATGGCTTAGTAGTTCCCCTCTAAATGCTATTTTGGGCTACAGCCCTGCCCCCAGTATAAGGGCTGGGAGGAGGAAAACATGTCTTCCCACCAAAAGTTGCCTTTAATATGCAACTTCCACCAGTCCTAAGTTCTCATGAGGTTTTTTCACCCTACTCTGGTTTTGATTTCCTCTGTATCTCTGTTAGTGGCTTAAACTGTGGATATATTGCACAGTCTTTTCTGAACACTGCTGTTCTACTACCTGCTGCTGTGCTGTCAAACTCACTGGGGATAACATGTCATCTTTTCCTTTCCTAATCAGCTGAATGTCATTCAGAAAGCTGGGACAAGGAGAATTTTCCCCCCAGACACCAGCTTTCCTTGGTAGCAGACAAACCTCAAGCCTTATAATACTACTTGTACATAGCACTTATATAGCTTTACATCCTCAAAGTGCTGTACTAGCATTAAGTAATTATCTTTCTCCCTAATGGCCATTAACACTGGCCTTTCATGAACCTCCCCCAGCTCCCTGAGGTTCATATCTAATACAGCAATAAGCTGCTCAGAGGGAGTGACTGGCTGTCTTGCAAGACTATGGGCTTGGGTATGTAATGAGGCTTCAGAGCAGAGGCCAGATGCCCTGGAGTATCAGAAACATGTGGCTGTAGCCCAGGTCATGCACTTGGGAGCATCCATCAGAAAGGGGTGGAAACGAGTAGGTGATAACGTGATCTTGAAATGGAGAGAGAAGAAGAAAACTTTGACTGCTCAGAGGATGTGCACTGATTGCTCTATTTATTACCAGGATAGCACTGTGAACAGAAAGAGCAAAGCAGTGGGAATAGCATGTCAATGTGGGCATGGGAAGTTGATCTAGGGAGAGAAAGTTAGAGAGCTAAAAATGTCAAGCAAAGCTAGACAACCATGGCAATGGGATAAAGAGGCCAGTCTGCAGGTCTATGAAGCATTGAGATAACAGGGAGAAAGGGCAGCTTGGCAGCATCATAGGATTTTAAGAGAGGAACAGAAGAGGATTTACTTGTCTTATTTGCTTTCAAGCAAAACCCTCTTCCAGGCTGTGGAATGTCTCCAGGGATGATGTTGCAATGCCACTGTTTCAGAACATTTTACCCTTAAGGGTCTTTAGAAGATGAGCCGATGTGATGGGTGGGCTCCTCCATCCCTGGATTCCAGAGAAAAAGAGAAGATGGGGTGGGAAGATGACATAGCTGTTTTAGAGAAGTCTCAGAAGTAGCATGCCCCTAACAAACACCAGTCCTGCATGGTCACTAATTTCTGAAACCTGCCAGGCCCATCTCTGAGAAAGCAGAGGTTTGACTAAAACAAACTTTCACCTTCTCCCTGAAGACATGGTAATTATTCTTTCCAAAGCCAAGGACATGCCTTATAAACTGGCTTTGCAAAATAAAAAAAGAGCATCCTTTTTTTTTAGCCTGATTTAATAGCATCATTTTGCTTTTATGCTTCTGGCAATGGCTGGTCCTGTAAAACAGTTATGTAGCTGTGGGAATCACGTGCAAGTCTACAGTGGCAAAACACAGCTCACAGCCACTACATGTTATGCAAAGGATTTCTGTCACCTTGGACACACTCGGCTTCCTGTGGCATCAATAGCACAATCCCTCTATGCTCAACTCTAAATCATTTTGCTACATCAGCAAATAACAGGGTATGGCTGACTGCAGACCAGGAAGACTTGACTTGGCATTCACTGGCTACACAGATTCAGAGCAGGGCCTTTCCCTGCCTTTCTGCATCTGCTTTCTCATCTGTGAAATGGGAATTTTAATCCTAATCAGTTTGCAAGGGAAGCAGTAAAGGATAGGCAAAGGTGATTTTTTAAAATGTAATAGTCAGCCTTATGTGCTAGGCTAGACATTGGAGTGGTTTTATAGTAGAGTTTAATTGATGCCTGTTCTGCTTATAGCTAGTAAATGCAAGGCTTAACATTTGCTCTCAAAAATGTGGTTCCCTCTTTGAGATGCAAGGGATACCTCTGCAAGGAACATCTTATCACTGAGCATAGTTGGGCCATGTTTTGGGATCCACACATTTCTGGGCGTTGCTCGCTTGTTTAGGTTTTTTTTCCCAAAATTAATTTAATTATTAATTATTACCAGATTAATTTTTAGTAAAAGCTTTCTCACATGACACACATGGCTGGGAGGAAAGCTTTGGCAGTCCCTAGACTCCACTGTATGAGCTATGCCAAGGTTGTGTCGTCACATCCTTGGAAATATTGTTGACTGTCTATGTCACTTTGTTGGCAGTTCTTCACCAGGATGTGTCTAGAACAGACCGAAGACCTTAACTTTATTTTGGCTTACTAGAACTGAGATGGGACTACTGGCTTCTCTGCAATGCTTTCAGGGCCAGATGGTGGTGTAAATCAGGGCCCTCCCATTTGAGCAGTACTGCTGCAACACTGTGTAAGCTGAGGACCTGTTTCATACATTCTGAACCTGTTCAAAAGCTAACTGTGCTTACTACTTTGTGCTACCTGTAATCACAAATGATCCTGCAAGGTTCAGGATATTGCAAATGGTTTGCAATACGTAAATCATCTTGAGATTGCTGGAAAACTGAGGACTTAGCGCTACTTAAAGAAGAATAAAATAAGCATTAGCGCAAAACAGTTTTTGCCACAATCAAGTTTGATGTATGTCCTGTTCTGCTGATAATGTTTCCTCAGAGCCCTTCACAAGAAGGGAAAGCAACTTGTAAAAGCTGGGAATGCAGGAAAGAGCTGAAATTGCAGCCAGGGTTTCAAAGGAACAAACAAAGAAAAGCATATTTCCATTTCCATTACTTCAGAACATTCCTGGGAGTTCAGAGCAGCAAGCTGAGAACACACCAGCCCAGCCATCTCTAAATAGGAGGTGTAGAGCTGCAATGAGCTTTTTGTCTTCAGGCATCTGCACTTAGGAAGAAAGATCTTCCTGAGACTTTTCAAACTCCTTCTCTTTTTTGAGGAGGGTCTATTTCAGAGTAAGGAAGAAGGTTGGTCTGCAGTCCTCTGACTACAACATTGCAAAACTGAGTCTAAATTCTGTCAAACCCCGGAGAAGTCTGAGCCCCTCTGTACAGAAAGCCAGCTGAGCATCCTACCACTTTCACACCCTATTCCAACACACCTTCCTCTTGCTTCCAAACGCTGCAGTGTCTCTGTACTGACCCTTCCCCCCACTAGTTCTGCTTTAATCAGTCAACGAAACCTGTGGAAAAACTGGCAGCTCACAGGAGAGCTCTTGTTTGTACAAGAAATGTTTTCATCTGAGTGAGCACAACAGTCTCATTACTTTGAATAGCCACACATATGCTGGAATCCTAGACAGCAGATACCTTCTTCCCTCACCCTTCATGGGACCAGAGAGATTTCTGCCTGTTTGATTCAGCTGCAGTGCTACAAAGTTATCAGCACTTGCTTTTTTGGTGTCTGTAATGAGACAAGCAGCCTTCCAAGCAGCACCACGAAAGCACTTTTTCTCATCTCCACTAAAACCTTGGGTACTTTACCCTCAGCAGAAATGAGTGCCGGAGACCTACAGCCCTGCTGCTTCCAGCACCAGCTGGTTGTAGCAATTAGCTGTTTCCCCACAGATGGATCTTCTTAGCAGAAGGACAGAACAGAGAAAAACTTGTCCTGCTCAGAGACGCTTGTTTAGGAATCTCTAGTGAATCCGCAGGTAAATCCATCTACTCTAGAACTGTTTGCATGTGTCCTGCAAGCCTCCTGTACACCTGCTGGATTCATGTGCCTTAGAGAAGGGTTGAGCCTTACCTGGGAAAGTACCCTTCCCTGGCTTGGCATACACCATTTTTATACACCCATGGGATCTTCCATTTCCAAACTCTCCAAAGGGGCTGGATTTCCCTCCTCCATTAAATGCTGGGCATATCCCTGCCTGTTAGAGCCTTTTTTTACCAACAGACCACCTTTTTGCAGTGCGGTCCTTCAGTCATTTACATATTCAAAGCACTCTCTGAAAAGGCCTGTAGCACAGTTTTATGAGCACAAAACCTTTCATGCAATTAGGTGATGCACAGATGGCTGTGGAAGGGTTTTAGAGAACCTTTCTGAAGAGGGACAGACCTCACTCTGTACTTCTGGCGGGTGCCTTGGAGCACTGAGGCCCTGCAATGCTTTGCTGGACACTTGTTTCTTCCTGTGTGCCTGGGTTCAGCAGACTGTAGGGCTGGAGTATGTTCTTGACATTTTGCATCTGACTTCTTTACAAGGCCATTTTGGGTGGAGAAGACATCATTTATCTTGATACCTTTCACTCCCTATCTGTCATGTTAACCAGGTGGGATTGGTGGGTAAACCCATGAGTGGTTGGGGAGGCAGCAGCCAGCCCAGCTTTTTGGAACAGCTCAGGTCCTGAGTTGGTCCACATCATGTCAGGGCTGACCCGCTCCTCAGGGCTCCCACCACTCAGATTTCCGTGTGCCTTTGCCCTCACTCAGGTTGGAGGACACACCATGCTGCCTATCCGCTGGATGCCTCCAGAGAGCATCATGTACAGGAAGTTCACAACAGAGAGTGATGTCTGGAGCTTCGGGGTGATCCTCTGGGAGATCTTCACGTATGGGAAGCAGCCCTGGTTCCAGCTCTCAAACACAGAGGTACAACAGTGCTGAGACAGCTGAAAACTGTACTTTTTTGCCATCTCTCCTTTCCAGGTTGTTTGCAAAGCAGTTTCTATGTGAGTGGTCCCCTCTTTGGCACTCCAATGGTGATGACATAGGATAAGTGTCATTATCTCCATATAAGATCTCAGGGAAAACTGAGGCTTGCAGGAATCAAAGTGCTCTGCAAAAGCCATATACTGGCCCATCCTCAGCCTCTCCTTTCTAAGTTGCTGACATACCTCTGTCGTATCTGATAAACTGTCAGGGTGCTGCCAGAACTGGGGATACCAAGATTACTTCTGGGATCTGAGTTACTGTCATGCCCTGAATTTCCTCTGCTTTCTCCTTTTGTGTATGAGGCTCTTACTGCAGTCTCCAGTTTGTGAGAAATCGTTTTAAGGCTAATTGTTATATTGCATATTGAACATTTGCATGGGGCTTTTTGCCATCAGGATATCTCTTACGTGGTTTGCCCCAGTTCACTGAGGGTGAAACCCAAGGAGCTGGTTTGTCCTTCTTATTTCTTTGACTAGCAAAAGTTGCAGCCCAGTAATATGGGGATGCACTGTAAAAACGTTGAGGGAAGGCTGGCTGGGATTAGCGGGGTGTCAGCGCTGAGGTTTGAGGCACATCAGCAGAAATGCGTTGGAAGATTTTTGCTCAGAATAGCAGGGGGTATTATAGAAGAGGAAAAAGATGCATTGACATAGCAGTGTGTGGGAACCTTGCACATTTTTATCCTACTGTGTATCTAATGGATTTCAGAAATTTCACCTTTTGTAATGAGAAATGTGCATTTTCTGCTTTCTGGATACAGATCCCTTAATTAAGTGAGTTGCAGAGATGGCAAATCCAAGGTGTTGCTTTACAGCTCTAATACTTGCCCATTCGTGTGCTCAATGGGGCCTGACTGTATATCCCAAAGTAGCACACGCAAACATTTTAGAGACACAAACAATGGAATCGACAGCGACAGAAGTTATTTGTCACGCTATTTAATGAGCTGCTCTTGCATTTCCCTGTGAGAGTAAATACAAACACACACAAATGAGCACATGTAGCTCGTACTTGGGTGATAAGCACGCTGGAATGTGACAGCTCCTCTGTGCCCATGCCTTCTGCCTCAGTTTCCTCTGCAGGGCAGTAGGACTGAGAATAACCAGCCTTAATCTTGAGGGGAGGGCTGGTGAACATCTGCACAGATGCGGCTGTATTGTTTTGCTACCATCCCTGGGATAAAATGTCACCACTTCTTTCTGATTACTGATGGCTCCCACCCCAGACCAGAGTATCCTGGTGGGAGGGAGCCACATTAGCTCTCATCTGGCTTGTTTTTCACCATTTGTGGAGAGATGGGCAGAGCCTGTGTGGCTGCAGAGGACTGGCACCTCCACCAGCTCCTGGATGGTGTGGCATCAGAGCAAGTCTCTGTGGCAGTCCAGCTGCAGTGGCAGAGCCCCACAGAGAGGCAGATTAATGAGCCTGTGCCGAGGTCCCAGCTGCCAGGACTGGACCACGAGCAGGCACCAGGCTGGCCAAGCATTGCTGCTGCTGGGTGCTGGCATTAGCAAGGCTGGGATGCCCACTCCCTCCTGTGCCATCTGTGTGGCCTCATATCCCCAGGACATTTTCAGCAGTTATTTTCAAGGCTGGAAGAGACCCTACCTGAGCAGAGGAACAAGGCAGGGCACAACTCAGCCAGCCCATTAACTTTACCCTGGACAGAAAGAGCCCACCACAGGGCTCCTGTGCATGTCCAAGATGTCTGGTAAGAAAACATAACTCACCTCCTCCCACAAGTCCTCAGCCAGCAGCTCTGTGGCAATGCAGACTTCTCTGCATGCTGTGTCTTCCTCGCTTCCTTTCAGCAGGTCCTAATCTCTCCCTTCTATATTTATATGCAAACAGCAAAGTGATAAGTATCCCTTGAGCTCTGTGGAAGGACCATTACTGTTCATAAATGATAAATTCCAAACACCCCTTGCTGGGTGGCTCCCCTCAGCACACTGCTTGGGAGTGGTGTTTATCTGCAGAGTGTGGCAGGTCACTTGCAGACTGCAATGCTGGGACTCATCAACCCCAGCCAAGGAGGGCAGACAGTAATAGCAGCTCTCTGACAAATCATCCCTTCCCTTTGCATGCATCCTGTAAACAAAACACAAACAAATACTTAGGGGAGTTCTTTCCAATGGCATCCTTCTAGAGAGACTTCGATCTTATCCAAGAGCTCATATTTTTCTCATTAGCAGCACTGGCCTGACCCAAAATAGAGTGATAGCACTGCAGACTTTTTTTCTATATCACAGATGAGATTTGATATGAAATTTTATTCTTTTAGTTGCTTTTCTATGTCAAAATGAGGCAAAGCTGCCCTTGGAGAAGTATATAGGAAAAGATGCTCTGAATTCTTCCTTGTAAAACTCTCCTGGGCTTTGCAATGGAAAGGACTCTTGTTTTTCAGGCAAGAAAAATATAATTTCAGCTGTGCAAAATATTACTTTACTTTGGGGATTTTAAGACTTTTTTTCCTTCTTCATTTAGCAGGAAAAACTGACATCATAAGTTAAAATTCCATTTCATTTGTATGTGAACTCCTGTTTGGAGAGCGCATTGAGGTTGGTAAGTGACAGATGGAGAAGGTTTTTGAGATCTGAAAAAACTCCAGCTGAAGAAAAACTTTTCACTGCAAAATTATAATTAACAACACACAAACAGGTGAACATTGAGGATCTGCAGACCTCTTGGCTTCTCAGTGCTCCCATTCACTAAATGGTACCACATCAACCAAGCAGTAGCTGGGACAGGAGATGTTCCAGAAACTGCCCAGCTGGTGTTCAATGTCTATTTTTTTTCTTTTTTTTAGGTAATTGAGTGCATTACCCAAGGCCGAGTTTTGGAAAGGCCTCGAGTCTGCCCCAAGGAGGTTTACGACATCATGTTGGGCTGCTGGCAGAGAGAACCTCAGCAACGGCTCAACATCAAGGAGATCTACAAGATCCTTCATGCTCTGGGCAAGGCCACACCAATCTACCTGGACATCCTTGGCTAGCAGTGGCCACTTGTTGGAAGTCCCTGCTCCTTCCTTCCATCCTTCCTTCCCTCTCCCCCTCCCAAGTCCTTTGCCCCTCAGCTCCCAAGCAAACATCTTCATATAAACTCAAGTGCCTGCTACACATACAACACTGAAAAAAAAAACAAAAAAAGCAAAACAAAAAGCAAACCAACAAAAATCCCAGAGAACAACAACCTGTAAGGCAGTTTGGCTTATATATATTTATAGATATCTCTCTATATATAACTTCCACACCAATACAGAAAGAAGCTGCTGTTACAGAAAATTGTAAGACTATAAAAAAAAAAAGAAACAAAAAAGGGAGAAAAAGTACTTAAAAATATATATATAATTAAAAAAAAAAAAGACAGAAAGAAAGGAGAAGGTATCTTTCCCCCGAGCAATGAAGCAGTGAATTGTAACCCTGCTGTGAGTACGGTTCGGGCTGCTGGGCAGGGCTCTAGACTGGCTATGGCAGCAATGCCATCCTGGGTAGGAGCCCCAGGAAGAAAACCTTGCCCTGGTTGTATGATATGCACTGAATGTGTGAAATCAGTCCTCCCTTTTCGTCCTTGCCTCCCTCCCTCCTTTCCAGCCCACAGGTGATGGGCGCAAAGCCAGGGCAGTGCCCCTGCGTGAACTCTCTTTTACCAACCCCTTCCATCCCTTCCTCTCAGGCCCTCCCTGTCCCTCTCTGCCTTCCTGCCTTTTTCCTCCCTCCAACATTTCAGGACAATTTTTCTAATTTGCTGATTCTTAAATGTATAGACTCAATGCTTTCGAACACACAGTCAAAGGATTGTGACACCTACGGGTAAAACACACACCGGGAACCAGCTGCCCTCCCGCAGACTGCAAGTTTGCCTGGCCCAGCCCTCCCTCTGCCCCGTGCCAGCTGCTGCCAGTGCTGGGAGAGCAGCGGGACCAAAGCGGCTGCGCACAGGAGTTGGGTGGGGGGTCCTGGAGGCCCAGTCCTGACTCATCCCCAACCCATTCCAGTGTGTGAGACAGGAGTGCTGTTTGCCCAGTGCATCCAGTGCATCCAGCGCAGGCGATCACTTTGGGAGGAACAACCTCACTCCTCCCCACCCTTCGTGGTTGCTAGCAACCATGGAGTTGTTCCCCCTCCCTCAGCTGTCTGCACCAGGGCCAAAATGGTCCCTGGTGTGAACCTTTAGCGAGCAGAGTTGGATCCCTGCTCCCCTTTCTAAGGCTACAGGATGCAGACAGCTGGGAACATGCCTGCAACCCAGCTGGGCATGTCTATAGGGTCAGCATATCCCAGCGCTCTTCCTCCCTATCCTCTTCCCTTCCCTGTTCCTGCCCCATGCCTCAGTCCAAGCCTCAGGCACAAGCCAGCGGGGGACAGGGAGGGGGACAAGGCTTGTGAGATGGCTGGGAACCTACCAACACCTGCCTGCAGCTCCCTTGCCATTCTCCTCACGTCCCCATCCCCTGAAAGGATTGATGCATCTGCCTTTGAGCTGTTGTGAAATGCAGAGGCTGAAGAATAGCTCCACAGGCAGCCCCGGGAGGAGGGGGGAAGGAGGGGAAGGTGCCTTCAGGAGCAGACGGCTCAGCGGATGGCCACAGTGGCCAGCCTTGCATCTCAATGAGGAGAAAGGCCTGACAGGCAGCAACAGGGGGTGGTGGGGACAGCGAGGGAGAAACAGCAGCATCCTCCCTACTACCCATCTCCCTGGAGCGGGAAATGATCCCGACCTGGGGAAACACTGAGTCAGACATTGCATCCTGCCTGCCCAGACTGGGCCGAGAATATAAAACCTTTCTGGGTCTTTTTTTCATGTGGCTAATGGAGGACAAGGGGGAACCTCAGCTTGGCAGCTGCTCTCAGGAGGCAGGGAGCGGGTGGCACAGACATTGTCAAGGCAATTTTGAGAAGGCAATAACTGCCAGCACAAAAATAGCCTGCTTGGACGTGGCACTTTCCTGGAAGGAAATGCAGATGGGGAAAAGGAGATGGAGAAGGGACCTTGGCTCCTTCCCCATGGCCAGAGTAGTATTCGTGGCCAGGATGAAAGGGGAGATAGGTGACTCTGCTTATGTCTTGCATTGGAAAAGAAGATTTTGCATCCTTTCCTCATTACCCATGTTTCCTGGCAGTCTATAACTCTCACCCATGGCTCTTGCATGACCTGACTTATGGTTTTAGACAGAGGCAGGGGGTATTGCTACAAGGAGCATTGTGGTGGCAACAGTGGCCAGGGGTTTATTCTGTGCTTGTTTAATGAGCAGTAGAACCCTGGAGTGGGACATGATGGGAGGCAGTAACCATGTGGGAGTAAGGACATAACCTTCCTCTGCATATTAGAGAGATCTGGCCTAGTGGGACAGACTCGTGCCAGTGGAGGCTGGACAGACTGCCACTAAACAGGCACCAGCTGCTCCACAGCATGGACACCAGTGATGGCATGGTCGTGGACAAGGGTGTGGACCAGCACACGGAGTCTGCACACAGGAACAGCGTACCAAACCATGCCTCCACAGCAGGATCTCCCTCCTGTGGGAGAGGACATCCGGTTTTCCTCACCTGCCTACTTAGGTCCAACTTTGTAAGTGAAAAAGATTGCTTGAAAATTTGCCTGCCCTGGCCTGGCTCCCTTTGTGTGCAGGCTGCTTTGGCTAAAAGGAATTGATATTCTGCACAGGGGAAGAACAAGGAATGGCTGTTAATTGCCCAGCATCTCCAAAACAAAACCCTTTCCCGGGGCTGCCTGTCTCTTACTCCAAGTGGCTTCTGGCTCTTGTGGCTCCCAGGCACTGCGTCAGATTGTGCAAGGCCACAATTTTATCCACCCCTCTCTCTCGCTGTCATGCTCTCATTTCTTTTTTGGTCAATGTCACAGGCTTTTACACTATCAAATCACCTACAGACACACTGTTCCAGGTGGATGAGATTCCCTTGTCACCATTCTGCATAGCAGCTACATCCTCCCTTCCCTCTTTCCTCCTTCCCCTGCTCCCCAGCACCATCACCTGTCCCTTCACCATCTCTCTGTACAGTCACAGCGAGGTGAGCTCAGGAGCCGGGCGTGACACCGAGCCTTGGTGCTGCATGTTTAGGAATAGCTGGTCTGTGAGGGAAGTTCCTGGGTCCCCAGAAGATGTGAAGTGTCTCAGATGTGAAACCTGCCTGCTTCACTGCTAGCCCCACCATGTGCAGTAACTGCCTTGGAAAAAGGTCCTTTTGTCAAGGTTAATTGTGAACAATTACTCAGAAGAGCTGGATAAGCTGCAGTTCTGCGGTGTGACATCTGCCCTGTTGCTGCTCTAGGCCCCTTGGCCTGTCAGTGCTGGATGGAGGTTTGTCAAGGGGAAGGAGGAGATGGTTTTGTGTTCAAAGACATGATGAAAAGTGTTGCATCCCTTTTTGGCATGACAGTTTTGGATGGGAAGAGGGAAAGCAGCTGTGCTGCATTCCTGATGGACACTCTGAGACCTCATTTCCAGAAGTACCTTTCCTGGACCAGAAGTGGAGCTGCCCATCAGCATGGGTGATGCTGATCTTCTCTGTAGGAAAATGGGCTCTGGGGTGGCCCCACTGTGTGTGTGAGGGGAGGAAGAAGAGCAGAGTTTGGGGGAAACTCTCACAGAGTACCAACATCTGAGTGTTTAGAGTCAAAGAGAAATGAGTTCATGCTTCGTCTCTATTTCTAGGAGAGATACTTCCCAACGCCTTGCCTCTACTAAGAGCAGAGAGCTATTCCTGCTGCCAGAGAACCTCAACAAGTCTCACGCAGCTCTGGGGCAAGCCAGGCCTAATTCCCATCACATCCAGCAGACATTCCCACCACCCAACCTCTTCCATCTGCAGTTTTCTCAAGGGGCTTGTGACAGGGAGCTGGAAGGAACACTAGTCTGAATACAGCTGAGAAGGGGGCATGGGGTCTTCCCTGTTCCAGCTGTGCCCTGCTCCCCAAAAATTAGAATTGATTGCACCAACTCAGTCACCCAAGGGTGTCATTGCAATGATGCTTTCTTGGAGGTGAAGGTGCTATATTGGTGCATGGTACGAATGGAAATTGTGTACAAGGGCTGCAAACTGTGGGGAGTAAATGTGGCTCCAGCCCCAGGGCCTCATCAGTGACCTGTCTTGTCTTCTCCAGCGGTTACTTGTCCTTCCACTCCAGTCTGTCAGGTTGCAAGACAAAAGCTCAAATGTAGCAAAGGGAAGACATAAAATGATCAGTCAGACTGAAAATCCATCCTGTCTCCTGAAAACTTGCCCATCTGGTCTTTTTAAATGTTCCTCAATGCACGTGTTTGGGGGAGAAAAAGTCTGAGCTGCATCATTTCAGGCCTGTCCTTGGATCTGGAGGGTGTTGAATTGCAGACAGGTGACTCTGGGAACTGTGCTACACAGAAAAATGTGGAAACTCTGGAATGTCTTCAGAGAGGCTGCTTGCTTGGGAGACATCATTACCTTTGAGCTGTTTGCTTGTCCCCAGGAGTGGGTGGAACAAGGTGAGAAAATAAGTGGGGAAATAAAAGAGCCAAGAAAAGGGAAAGGCGGGTTTTAGAAGGCAAGTGAGTATCTTGGGTTGGGAAATCGAGACAGATTTGGGGAGTGTGGTGTAGAATTTTAAGTAGCACAGTGGGTACAAGCAAAACCAAATGAAAATAGCAATGTGCTGGAGCTCCAGGAAAAGTTAGCTATAACACTGGACAAATACTGGTTTAAAAAGGAGGCAGAAACCGATAAAATCAAGGGACCATTTATGCAGGCGGAAAACCAAATCACTAGGGTTTTTGCTTTTCTGGTTTTGTTTGTTTGTTTGTTTGTTTTTCCCTCCAAGAAAATGCAACTAAAAGAAGGTCTGAAAAATTATGCTTTTTCAAGGGCACAGACAGAAGTATAACACTAAATGAGCTGTTTCCTTTCACGTGAAAGGCTCTTATTTCCCAGAACTCAAATGTATAGGTTTCCTTGAGTTCAGGATATGTGTTGAAGAATGCAGATGTGGATCACCACAACCCCCCAAACCCAGAGGTAGCTCTAAACACTTGATCAGGTGGCATTCATGTGCCACTCTGTGTGGAGACAATATTGTGTTCAGGATGTTGTCTTAAGAAGTTTTTTTAATCTTTATAATTTCCTCCCTCCTCAGGAAGTATCTACATCTTTTCCTGTTCTGGCCAGGATTCAGCTGAACTACTAAAGCCATGGCTCATACCCAATGTTTTTTACAGCTCTAGGTGTTCTCTGGTTGTAAGTCAATGATGAGGATAAGCAAGGGGAATAAATGAGATCCTGGCTGTGATATCATGCTGTGATAGCTCCTCTGACAGCTGGAAAGCTCTGAGCATCAACAGGGTTGGCTCTTTTGCTATGGGACTCACAGGCACAGGCATGTCTTGGCACATCCCAAAAGGCTTGTTCTCCATTCACATGCAGTGGCTTTCTGATGGATGTTGAGGTCATGGAGCCTTGTCACAACACTGCTGTCTCCAAATGAATACCAAAAATAGAAAAAGAGAAAATTTCCGTCTCAGCACTGCATTCCAGGAGTGCACAGACTTGCTTAGCTCTAAGGTACCTTCTCCACTTCTGCACCAATGCGACTCTTGTGTCAGTACCCATTTTATATTTAAGTAGGTGCTAAGTCCTAAAAGTTCTTTTCCCTTTCCCCCTCTCCTTGCAAGCAGGGATATTAAGTTTCAAGCCTGAGAAAATAGGTGTTTTAAAAACATCTGTTCTGGCTGGCAGTGTCATAACTGACACAGGCAGAGACGTCAGTCACTGCTCTGAGAGGAATGCAGGAGCATTCCATCTCTCCTGTGCCTCTTATTCCTTTCCAGTACACCACTGAGCCATGAAACAGCTCCCTGAGAGAAGTGATTGGACTCCTATTGCTTGAAACTTTGAAAAACTGAACTGAGGAAAGAGATCAGAGACCAAAGAGAAGGAAGGACAAAATATTCCAGCTTTCTTCAAGGGTTAAGTGAGCTGGTAGGTTGGTTTCATCTCAATGCCTTCAGTTTCTCACAGACCCAATCTGACAGCTGTTTTCAGACTAAAGGAATGACCATGAGTTCCTTCTCCCTTCTGCTAGTCCCACAATTTTAGCATCTCTCCAAGGGGAAAGGAGGCACAAAAAATCTAACCGTCGCTTCCTCACACTGTCAGGAGTCCCCCATAGGAACTGATCTGCCACCCAGCACAAGCGACTGATCCCACAGCTGAAAACTGGAACAGTTGTTCTGAGGAAGAGTTTAACTGCTGAACTACTGGCTGCTTAGGACAAGGTCCCAGCAGGGAAGGACTGAAATACCTCTAAAGAAAATCATAGCTCTGGGAGGTCCAAATGTCTTGCACGTTTTCTCTCGCTCTCTGCTGGCTTCCAGCTCCTCAGTCTTTGCTGCTTGATACTCAGATAGCTGAGTTTCTTCATTCACTCCCTTTACAGAGCACAGAGAGCTGGTGGAGGTGTTTGATTTTGATGTGGTAGGTGAGATAAGATTTCTCCCCCCATGCCCTCTTCTTTTTCTCCCTGCACAGCTCCTGTCCTTGCAGTTCTCAGGACTTGACTAGGAGAGTTTTTAAATGAAGTGAAAGTCTTAATGTGAGGTGAATCCCAAGACCACAAACAGTTTGGACTTCAAACAGTGAGAAAATTGGCGCCGGATGATTCCGCACACAAAGCAGAAAACTTTCATTTCCTGCAGGCAGGATGGAATTGACTGTTATATTAAGACTTCAGAAGGAGCACTGCCCCGGAGTAATTTCACTGCTGTCAGGCAGTGTTGACATCTAGATTAACCTCTGTGCAGTGAATTTTACAGCAAAGCTCATTGTAATGCATGTGGGGTATCTCCTGTAAATCCCAGCTGAAGCCCACAGTGTCCCACCCTTCTGCACAGGAGGAAGGGTTGGGGAGCAGCCACTATCATTTTTGACCCCAGCAAAGCATGACTCTAACCTCATCCAGGCCAGTTCTGCTGAAACTGATTTTCTACCATGCTAAAGTGACAGTAGCTCCAGCCTACATTTTTTTTTTTAATTCCTCAAAGAGGTTTACATCACAAGGCTAAAATTTTTGCTAGTGACAAACAGCTCCCTTCAGGTATCCATCCAGCAACACAGTCCTAATTAAAAGGCACTAGCTAACCGGTGGCAATTAGCTGCTTGCACTGATTAACACCAAGACATATAATCCCCACACACAATGCTCTGATCAGATGTGATCTAGGACTAAATGGCAGACAAACTCCCAGCTGATGTGAGATAGTGGCATCCAATCCTATCCACCATCCTATCCTATCCCACAGGCCACTATCAACACTGTTTACCAAACCAAAACTTCATGAATTAAAGAAGTTCACACAGTTAATGCAAGTCAGAGGACATTGCAAAAGAAGTCCCTTTGCACTTGAACTGAATGCTCCTGTTGACAAGTTGGAAGCATAGACCAGACCTCAAGTCCTTTTGTCTTTTATGTAGGAGTAGGGGGAGCAGTGAAATGTCCCAGGCAGGAGCACAACAGCTTCTTCACATTTATGTGAGTAGAGAAGATCCTCTCTGTGGTTATTAAGATGCATCTCTGATCTCAGAGATTTTTCACTTTGTGAAAAAACCACTAGCATCTAAAACAAAAAAAAAATTGAAGCAGAAGGGTAGGTTTGTTTCTTTGTGTGTTTTTGTCACACCTTCTTATTCTCACACTTATTTTCATACTGTCATTGCTCTGCAGGCATCTGTAGGCGGTTCTAGACAAGAGACAGGCTATCAGGTATCGAACAGATCCACCGCTAACCCTAAGGGCAAAATCTCAACAGGACTTCTAGAAACCCCTTTCAGAGCCCACCCATCCTCTCACCCACAGCTTTTCATGGTAGGCTTTGGACTGCCTAGAGGGGACATGTCTGTAGTTTCCTTTTGTCTTCAGAAGGAGTTGTGGCATTTCTGCAATCTGACCCAACAGGAAGATTCCTTCAAACTAACATTTATTACCCCCAATCATAATACAGCTGAAAAGGCTATCCAAGGTTATAGAAAAGGTCAAGCACTTACTTTGGACTGGAATTTGCTTTGGAAGAAATTTGATGGACCAATTTAACCACCACAGCACATCAAAACCTGGTGGCTTCATTTAAAAAGTAATCAGTATTGTATTTCACTTTAGACATCCGTGCATTAGTGTTCTGCAAATATGATTTCCTCTTTGTTTGCATTATTGATGCCATAAAATGTCAGACACATTAAAGAAAAAAAAAAAGAGGCCAACCTTTGGGGTTTGGAATGATTCTGGCTGAATTGCAGTTGGGTTACTTTTCTTTTTATTTCCCATGATAGCGATGCACTGTTACTCATTCTGCTATTGCTTTACAAAGAGTTCTCTGTAAGTGTATTTATTCAGCCAACCATATTTCAGGAAACACATAACCTTGATATTTTTTACTGTGTGTGGCAGTGCTGTGTGTATGTGTGTTGGGGAGAAGAAGGGAGGTGGAGCTTTTTACAAGAGCCCTCCCATGTCTGGTAGTGTGTTGGCTTTGTGTAATGCCGAGTGCCTCCCTCCTGCTCAGGTGACTGGTTTGATTTAACCTCAAGAACTGACTTTTGTTACCAGAATTTGAGGTCTTCTGGTTTTGCACTGCCCAGAATCTGTCATCTGCTTTCACCATTCAGCAGCCATCTGCTATCCACAGAGGTTCCTAGATGTCTATGCCACAGAGATTACACAGCACTCGAATCTCAGGCATGTGATAGAAGAATTTTAGCACATTCTGATCCTGGACCAACAGCAAGTTTGCTGATTTAGCTTGGTTCCCACCCAAGGTCTGACTACAGTTCCCAAGACAAATAATATTAGCTGCTCAGTGCTTTTTCTCACAGACCATTAAGAGCACAGGCCTTGGTGGCTGTACGCTCTCTGCCTCACCTCTCTATAATGAATGCAGATTCATTTTTCAATGTTCCTGTGAGCTTTTTGGGAGAATATTCTTCCTCTTAAAATCTAAAAAAATTCTCCAGCATTTTGTCTTCTTGAAAGTGAAAGTGAAAAAATAAGGTGGAAATATCTCCCTGGATATATATTTCTGGTGGAATATTTTCATCAGTGGTAAAATTTCTTTTCAGCTTTTCCTTACAGTGACATCAAGACTTGGGTGCAGAGGAAGGAGAATAGAGTGGACCAGTCTAAGGAAGGGATTCAACTAGGACCTAGACTGCAAATTCATCTGTTCACATAGTAGGCCCTTGACAGTTTCATAGAGAAAGAAATCCCCAGCTTTTTGTGAGCAGATTCCTGCCCAGCTGTCCTGTTCCTACTCCAGTTCTGAACAATGACTTTGAGATGGCCTTCAGATCTCTTTATCTTCACAGATCCCTCTCAGAACTATCCAAACAGCCCAAAGAAGTGATGACAGGGGCTGAATGGGTGTGTAATTTGGTGTCTTTCTCTCACTTTTTCACCAGGGGCAAAGATAGTGAAAGTAACAGAACAGAAAAATTATTTTTCCCAACAGGAGAGATCCATTTTCTTTTTAAACTCTGATATTTAAGATGCCGTACAGCAGTACCTATAAATATGCCTTGAGTTGTTGAATGAGCACAAGGAGTGTATTTGATTTTGTTTTTATGTCTATAATTTCTCTCACCAAGAATTCAGCTGTTACTCAGCTCCCAGCAGGTTGTTCTGATTGCTGGAGAGATGTTTGGGATTGATTCCGGCTGTGACCTGTTCGAGTCCAGCCTCATTCTTATGTAGCTAGATTGAAACAACAGAAATCAGCAAGAGACTGAATTGTTCCTGTGTAACTAAACCTTCTTGTGCAACACCAAGCTAAACCTTGAAGACATTGAACAACCACAACTTTGAGATCACTAAAGGCTCTAGATACTGAGAGGCACTGAAGGTCACTACGATGTTGGGAATAGAATGGTAGGAGAGAGAAAGAGAAATGCTACAAGGAAAAATCAACAAACATTACATCAGAAAAGACAGTGGTTGGTTTATAAAACAATAAAATCCACTGCTGTACATGAGAAAAGAATCAGAATATTCACCCTGGCAACCAAGAACATTGGCCATCAGGACAAGAGCAGCTCTGTATCCTACAAACTTCCTCTCACTTTTAATTTCCTTTTTCTCCTTCTGCTAATACAGAACAAATCCTGGCTTATGGCCTTCCTGAAAAGTGAAATTAAGAGGCAGGCTTGGAGAGGAAGAGAGAGATCCTGCTGGATGATCAACAGCTTTATAGCCCACCACCTTTCAGTAGCAAGTGCCTGGTGTGTCCTTTTTTTTTTTTTTTTTTAATACAAAGACTATTTGGTACTAATAGTGTTCACATTAAGACTTAAACAATAATAATAATAAAAATTCCCTTCCTAAGATTAATAATAAAAAAATCTCTCGGTAAAATGGAGATTTTAGCAGACGGACAGACGTCGTAGCCGCGTCCCTGCGGATCAGCACCGCGGACAGCGGCACCTCCCGCGCCTCTCCCGGCCCGGCGTTTCGGGCATCGCTGGAGGAGGAACTCCGCTTTAAAAGAAGGAACTCTACTCTCGGAGAAAGAATTCAACTTTTGAAGGAATCATGCCCACACTGTCAGGGCACTGCTGTCTCGCCCTTCGTTCTTTTATCCCATTCTTTTTTCTTTCACTTTTTCATTATCTGGTATCTTGTTTTCAAATGTTGGAGGAAGGATAGTTTAAAACACAAAACAATAACTCCAATTCCAGAGAGAGGACCATTTTTCCTTCAGAATTAAATTCACTGCCCCACTTCTTCCTGGACTAGTGTTCTACTTATGCAGACTCCATCTCTAATTTGGATTGTTCCTGTCTTCTCATCCATTGGGACAGTTTGACAAATGGAGAGCTACTATACTGATAGCCCTTCAGAAACAGAGTATTTATGTTATTGGAAGCACCATGGGATTCAGTTTTGGCCATCAATTACATTTAGGGTAAATGCTGGTAAAGGGTAAACAGAAAAATTTCTTGAAAAATTGCAAGTTAGGGACATATAAAGGACACTCAGGCCTCTAAAAGTTATTTTCACATCAAGCCACGGAAAAAGCCACATTACTGTGTAGTGGAGAGTTGTCAGAATCATAGAATCATAGAATGGTTTGGGCTGGAAGGGATCTCAAAGATCACCTCATTCTGCCCCCCTTGCCATGGGCAGGGACATGTTCCACCTGACCAGATTGCTCCAACTTGGCCTTGAAGAGTCAGACAAAGATGAAGAGCCATGCAGGGAAGAGCAGGCATCAAAAGACAAGTCTCCAAATGGAGAAGCAGTTATATGTCACATAGCAAAAATGGCAGGCATTTTGGTATTCAGCTTGTGCCACCTGCATACTTGGGATTTCATCCCACATTTTCCCGAATGATATTAAGGAAGATATATCCTCAAATTAAGGTTGGACATCTCCTGGACCTGTTCATTGTGGTGAGAATTTGTTGGGCAGGAGCATGCAGGCTCAGTACATCCCTGAAAAATTTAGTATGAGGAAGAACAACCAGAAAAGTGGGCCAGAAAGTTGGGCTATTCCCCCCACTCAACATATGCTGCTTTCTTGAAGTAGTTTCCTCTGTATCCCACCTCCCACATACTCCCCAGCTGTGACTGGCAGTTACTACAATGGGACATGTGGATGGACACTCGGAGACAGTGAGGACTGGGAAGTGCCTAAGACACAAGGCCTCAAAACTTGTAAGTAACAATACCAAAAATAAGGAATTAATGCCGGACTTCTGATGCTTAGGGCCATCTGGAAGTCAGAAAGGATGAGCTTGCAGGGGGTGGCAAAGATTATTTAATGAGGGAGTTAGAGAACAAATGGTGCTAAGAGGAGGGAGAAAAGAAGCCCAATGGGACACAGGGAAAGGAAGGAAATGGACAAGGACTTGACTCCCAGTGAAGGATCAGTGATCATGGGGGTAGTGAAAGTCAGATGTGAACTGTGGTGAAGCAGAGGACAGCCCTGGTTGGGGAAGAACTATGTTTGTGAGGAAGGAGTCACTACAAAATGAAGTGTGCTCATCTAAATGAGTCCTGAAAGTTCCTCCAAACCCTCAGCCCTGCTGGGCTTCTCCTGGGCCCAAATTCTCTGCTTCAAACCTCATAAATATCATAATTTTAACCACATTTATTTTGCTCTCTGACAGGTCTGGTTACAGTACAAGCAGGCTAGATTGTTTTAGTTCCCCTCACTCCCCCTGCTCTGTCCCCACAACCAGCCAATTCCTTGTGTGAAGGAAAATTGGCTTTCTTTTCTTCTTTTTTCTTTTCTTTTCTTTTCTTTTCTTTTCTTTTCTTTTCTTTTCTTTTCTTTTCTTTTCTTTTCTTTTTCCCCAGAAGTGTCCATTACATTTTTAGCTAAACTGAAAGGCAATTTTTTGCATGAGAGCTTTGCATAGATAGGCTTAAAGCAGAACAAAAATTAATAAATAACTATACTAAATTACCTCCCCCTCCCCCACCTTGTCTTAATGAAGTGCTGTTTTACATAAGCTATTTCAACAGAAAGGAATTATTTTTGGGCACGCAAATGATCAGCAATATTTAGCTTTCCAAGAGTGTTGCAGCTCCCTCCAACTTTTCTGGGTCAGGCAAGGAGGCGAAGTTTTTCCAGGTAAAGATTGAGGGCACAAAAACTGTGCACTTGCCTCTGGTAATTTCTTCAGGACGTGTGTTGAAACAGTATTGTCCATCAGTGGCTTGTGTGGCAGTGTGATGGCATTGGCAGAAAAATCACTCTGATTTCCTGTGCTGGCACTCCTGCCTCAAGAAGAAACATGCAGCTTCCAGAAATCTGCGAGGGTAGACTTAATTTCCAGGAAACTTCTCCTCCCCCCAGCTGAACTGCACTTCAGTGCTGCACTCAGGCTTGGCCTCCACAAGGTGCTGCTCCCCAGCTCACTCTGGTAGGCGAGCTGGTACTGAGAGGAGGATGGGGCTACATCTCAGAGGAAAGACATTTTGATGACATTTTTGTTGTTACTATTATTTAAAACAGCTTATTTTAATCTCAGTTAATGTCATGGGAAGTCTGCATGAGCAGAAAACAAATCCTCTGATGATGTGATGTTTGCTGAATTGATTTTTTTTTTTGGCAGACTTCTTTTTACACTAGACACCAATCCACGTTTTCTTAGTTTGGGGCTTCTTTTGCATCTTTTGAATCCTATTTGCCATTTTGCAACTGAATTGATGGTTCTCAACCTTTTCCATCCTGCAGTCTCCCCTTCTCCAAATCAAAACTCACCATTTTCCCGAGCTGGGAACAAGCCATGTTACCAGGAGAACCTGGTGAGAGCAAGGAGGTCATGATCTCTGCATGCCCCTTCCACCTCCACTGGCTCCAACTCAGAGGATAAGGAACTCTTATCTGAGTATTGGCCAAGGTAGGGTCCCTGCTTCTCCTCTACCTGCCACATCATGTGCATCAAGCACATTGCTACCCTGGAAGGGGATGACTGATACAGTGTTAGTCAAACTTACAGGAAGACTTTTTAAATTAAGGATTTACAGTGAGGTCAAGGGGCCTGTTAAAGTGCTGAGGTATTTACCCTCCCCAGACCTTCCCTTCCTTCCTGCCCTGCTTTGTCCCTTCCTCTCTCCCCAGCCTTGAAATGAAACAGAAAATTATTTTTTTAAAACTGTGTCAATAATTTATGTTTAGTATAAAGGATGATTTAATGGCATCACCAAAGGTCATTTTTTTCATCTCCTTGTTACTGCCCCAGCCCCAGAGGCTGTGCATCCCCTCTTTCCCATCTCTCTCTGCTGCCCTCCCTTTCATTCACCTCACACACCCCCTGCCACCACCCCACCACAGCGTTCCACACACCACACACCTGCTTCAGGTTCAGCCAACAACCGTTGGAGAACAGAGATTTCAAACCCAAACCTCCACTCCAGACCACCACAGACTGGAACCATTTCCACCTTGAAAATAGTCAGTTGCTGCAAATGACAGGCAGACTCATTTCTTGAATTACGTAAGGTTTTTTTTAAAGCCTTTTATACCTATTTACGTGTGCGCGTGCGTGCACCGCGTGGACACAGTGGTATCTGTGTGCACAGATGCACACGAATCTCTCTCTCAAATATAAATATATTGTATGTTAGAGCTGTAAATATTCCTTGGTCATGTGTCTATGTCTTCTTCAAAGTATCATATCCTCAGTGTTATGTTAACAATTCCATTTATTGATTGATGAAACTGTGTGTAGACCTGTACCCTCCTGACATAGTTTATGTAGCTCTCTCTTCTCAAATAAAGTACAAAACTACCACTAGTAGGTCCTCCTCTCCTTTTTCTTCCTTACTGAATATTCAGCTTTAATTCATGGGAGTCTGACACAAAATTTATGCAGTTTTCAGTTATCACAACAGTGCAGAAACCTCCACATGATGTTTTAGGAATTGTGTTGTGGCAGTCAGGTCAGCACGTGTAACAGTTGTTAAGAAAAGTAGTAATCTGTAGGCAAAATGTTGTCCTAACTGCAGTAAATGAGGGTCTCACTACTGACATGATTAATTTTTCCCACCTACGTCCAGGTACAGCCTTCACCAACCACAGCTCACTTCATTCTAGTAGAGACAATAGAAGTCCATCCTCTTCCTCCTCTCTGTCAGTGGGTCTCTGCATCATTATATCAAGCAACCCTCCCATGGCTCAGAAATTTCCCCTTGGCTTAAAAAGATCCAGTCATTTCTCTGTTGTGTTGTTGGTTTGTTGTTGCTTGGGTTGCTCGGCACCCAAACTCAACTCCCCATAGTAAATCTTGGGGCTGGAAACAACACTCAGGATTATGGCAAAATCCACTGCTGTCACTTGCTTCCCCTTAGCTCCTGAGACTGGCTTCATGAAATCACAGGAATCAGAGGATATTTACCATTGCAAGCTGAAAAAAAAACCCTTTTGCACAAATACACTTACTGGGTAAAACCATAAAAATGATTTGTGAAGTAACACTTAATTTACTGCAACTGACACCAGACTCCAGATGCCAGAAATTTGACTGACAATTTCTATTTATTTATACCCTGCTATACAATATCTGCCTTAATGTTGTAAATTTTTCTGATTGGAATTTCACAGTGTCTGCCTGGATATTTATTGAACATAAAATAATCTGCACAACCCGTTAAAGTCAAGGCAGGGAGAATGGATGACAGAGAAATCACTGAACAGGATCTGGATACCAGTGCCCAGGTAACAGAAGATGCTCAGATGCTATTTTTACAGCATTATGTATCACTGAGA